ACCTTATGGTCACAGAATAGAAGTGAGAAGAGTTCAGACCTTGTTTTTTGTGTTCTAACTTCTGACTTCTTGAATTCTGCTCTAGACCTAAATTGACAGATGAATTCTAGTCTGCTACTTAATTCTAATTTTCTCTGTTCATCTTCTATTTAAGCAGTAATGATTTTTCCGTGTATATCCTGAGTTGTAATCAATTATTATTCACTTAAGGGACCATGTTGTATTTGGTAGCTAACAGCATCTCTCTTCTAAGGCCTGCTTTTCCTTGGGAAGTTGGATTACTCTCCTTTATGTATTATATTTTTCCTTCATGGTCCTATGTAAATTGTTCTGCTCATAGGTCTTGAGATTAAATTGCTGACCATAAATCATGGATTTTCAGGTTTATCTTTCACCTTCTGGCATTCTGGATGTACATGAGTATGTAACAGTGAGCATGAGAAAGTTTAGTCATACTTAAATTTTAGGTTGTTAAGTGTTCCTGAAGTCATTTTGCTTGGCTTTCTATGATGTTCTGCATAAAGATTTCAGTACTTTATAGATGCAATTCTTTCTTTTCCTTCTTTAGTAATTTATAAGCTCTAGATATAATGCCTACAGATAACATATTTGATTACAGATGTGTGGATTATACTTTTTGTTCCTTATCTATCTCTTGAGCATGACTATAAAAGCTTGGTAATCATAGAAGCTCACAGATTTCTTCTTATCGACAGCTATAAATATCACGTGGCTCCTCTCTCTGTGCGTGAATGGTGTACTCTCGGATGGCTTTGTCACTCTACCCTTTCAGTGTGTTTTCCAGATGTGCCACGTTATGCACCGTGCAACTTTCTCATTGAGTTCCTGTCACTCTCACTGTAGTACGGAGCTCTGGCAAAGGCCTGCTTTCCTCCTTATGAAAAGCAGACTAATAAATAGAAGTGATATCTTAAAAGTAATTTTTTATACAATAAAACATAGCTATCGAGGGCTGGGGATTTAGCTCAGCGGCAAAAGCGCCTGCCTGGCAAGCGCAAGCTCGTGAGTTTGGTTCCCGGTACCGGAGAAAAAAAAAAAAAAAAAAAAAAAAAAAAACATTGCTATCGAGAACTATCCTGAAATAAAAAACTGTGATGACTCCATGAAAACAAATGCTACACAGTCCAGGCCCCAAACTTCACCAGCCACGTGCTCCACACCAGCCACATGCTTCACTGAGCTATCTCCCTCCCTGGCAGTGACCCCTCTTGTGACTTTCAGAAAAGCATTCCGAGACACTGTAGTTTAGTCTTGTATATTCTTTTAAAAAAGTCTTTGTAATGGCCTTGTAATCCATACGTTTGTCTTGTACTGTGTAATCTCTTTCCCTTTCTTTCCTCACAGTTTGTCTTTTGAGGCATCTGGGCCGTTTGGTGTCTAAGTTTCTTTGTTTTGCTGAGTGCATCCTACTATCCTTGTCTACACAACATATTATTCTTTTCTCTGTATTTTCTGCAAATTGATGGCCAGATCCAGGGTCAAGCTTGGTTCTTTGGCACCAACACAAATGGTGATCTGTATAATTACAGGAGGTGCAAAATGTATTTATTTCTTTTTATGATGTTCGAAACTGCTTATGGTTAATTTCCTATACTCTTTTTTTCTTATTTTTTGTTTTTTTTTCCGGTGCCAGGAATTGAACTCATGACCTTGCGCTTGCCAGGCAGGTGCTGTGCCACAGAGTGAAATCCCTGGCCCCAATTTCCTATACTCTTTCTCGGGGTTGAAAAGTGCGAGGTTCTGTACTTTCTTTTTGGTGTGATTTTTTCTGTTTGTTTGTTTGTTTCCTTTTCGTATTTGTTTGGTTGATCACAAGACAGTTCCCTTCACATACTGTGGTTACCTTCTGATGCAGTATATTAGAGAAAATAAGAATAAATACTCTAATCTTTGATTTTTTTTTTGGTAATTTTCAATTTAGTGAGCTCATTCTTTATGGTCCACCAAAGACGACTGCTTCTCTTTCTTTTAATGTTCTTATGAACTTGTGAACTTGAACGTATTCAGCAGCCTTAAATTACTGGTAGAGCAAGGATCCTTAAAATCTAGCTTTCCCATCTTTAATTACTGGGAATTTTCATGTTTCCTCCTGCATGCTTCAGCATCGCTTTAGTAGCTTTTGAGAGCTTCCCTGCTGCTTGGGTTAGTGGAATGCTTCCCCACATCTGGAATTGGCCTTTATTCCACTGTAACCTGGCTTATTTTAGTGAGAAGTTGTATTTCAGGACAATAATAGGAGTGCTAAGGAGGCCTCATTCTACCATTTCAGTGAATATAGCTTCGACATATATACGCATATATTTAAAGGCAAAAATACCTAAATAATTCATATTGATGTTTAAAATTGAAGCCTGGAAATATTTCACTTTCTCCTTTTCCTATTACAGCTTCTCATGTTTTTCCAGTTTAACATGCTTTGTTGTCCATGACTTAGTAAAGATAAATTTAGGACGTCTCATTACTCATTTGTTTTCTCACATGTTATTTTGAATATTTATAACATGGCTCCATTGCCAACTTATAGATACTACATATGTAATATATTCTCTTCCATTTAGCCCTTGTCCTGAGAGAAAATATGCCCACCTGCAGTTAAGGTGAAAAGATGCAGTAGTGAGGTGAGGGATAAACTGAGGGTGCCAATGTCTTTGCAAGGGCAGAAGGGGTTTTGAAATACATAGTGTGAAAAGACGTAGGCGTGTTCAGGTTCAAAAACAGAGATCCAACAGAGAGGAGAAGCAGCAAGAACTGGCTCGTCCTGAAGCAGAACTAATTGGGAAGATTGTATGGAGATGCTGTGGTAGCAGAAACTGCATTCTGAAAGACTGTTTTTATTTATGTGGTTTGTAGGGAAAGAAAATGTGGACTGATTTTACAGATTTATGTTCCAGGACTTTTGAACATAAGCTACTTTTTCTCCTCACTATCCAAGGGAATGAGCAGGAGTGCTGTAGAGTCCCTGGGCATGAACAGAGGAATTAATAAACACTAACGAAAAAGAAAAGTCATTATTGAGACTTTGTTTCCTTCCATTCTGTATGCAGGCATTTGCATACATACACCTACTGCAAAAAAGAAATATATATATATATGTATATATATATATATATATAAAATCATATATATAAAAAAGTATGTATATATATGTAATTTCAAACAGAGAAACATGACTTTTACAGTACATTTTAGCATTTAGGTATTTATTGCTAAGCCTTGGGTTTCATCCCCAGCAATTCAAATAAATAATAAGGCAATAAACTGCTACTTTTGTACTATTCAGAAAATTGTTGAAAACATTTTTCAGATAGCCTTTTTGCATTCCGGCTTTCTATCTAGTTTTTGTTGAAGGTTTTTTCCTTGAGATTTAAATGCACGTGCACACATACACACACACACACAGGACAATTGGTGGAATACTGGAACCAGTGAGGACCAGAGAGTTGTGAAGTTTATAGAAATTTTAAAAACCAAAAGATACCACATTGATGGTTTGAATTCCCTGGAAACGGAACTACTGAACCTCAGAAACTAACGAATGCTATGAATGAGCACTTTGAATTTTGGTTGAAAAATTAGCTGTCCTGTATTTTATAAGTGCACTGTAGTTCTAGTTTTCTTAGTTTGACTGTTACATTGTATTTTATTGAGACAGTAAAACTCAGGAATGTTCGAACCTTCCTCATATTTAGCTATTATGATTGAGGCAAATTTCAACATCCTGCTATATATTTCTTGACCCTATATACAATAGTGATTCAGATATAGGAATACAGAAATAAAATTGCAGCATGCTGAGGTTTGTATATTTCCAACTTTTATAAATAGTAATAAATCATTTCCAAAAATCACTCCAACAGCTTAGATGAGCAACAGGAATTTTATTGCTTTTTGGTTTCCCATGTCGATTTCTATGAAATGATAATGTAAGTGTTATGAAAAGGTACCAGGGATACTTAGCATTTCACCAGTAAGAAATGATGGATGCTCTAATCAAGTCCTTCTCATAGTTGTGTCTTGTCTTTGCCTGCCCTTTGTCTCTCTGCCATATAGAACTTTTAAAATTTAAATTAACAATCTCCTTTCATGGTTATTAGTTGTATACATTTTCTTATTTACAGTCTGTCCATTTTTAATTGGGCTGTTTATCTTTTTTCTTGTTGAACTATGGAAGATCTTTACATATTCTTGCTATTTATCCTCCAATGGTTATATCTTTGACAAATGTCACAGTTTGTGCCCCTTTTCATTTTATTTATGATGTCTTTCATCATATAGAAGTTATAAATTTTAATGTAGTTGAAATTTTCAATTTTTGCTTTATAGTTTACACTTCTTGGTCTTGTGTGAGATACCCTGATATCATAAATATGTTTTTCAGTTTTTCATTTTAAAGTTGACAGCTATGCCTTTAACATTTAGGCCTTTTTTGATTACCTATTTAAAATGTATAAATTGGCTGTCATTAATGCCAAAGAGATAGAAGCTTGCAAAGGGTACACAGTTTGTGGTGACTCAAAATTATTCATCAGTATTTTATTGTCATGCTGTGACAAATACTTACTACATAGTCGGAATACAGAAATGTGTGGGTCTCACTCTTGACTCTGGTGGACCAACATAGTATAACACAGGCAGTATATAGGCAGTTTAACAAAAACTAATATGCATTCTCTGGGAGGGTGATGGTGGTGAATCATTTGAATTCCTGTTAATACATACATCCTGGCATAAGAATTTTATGGAAAATTGACATTACTACCATAATGTCAGCTCTACCCCCTAGAAAGAATGCTTGTACTTAACTTGTGTCCTTTTCCAGATTGAATAGCAATGGCAAAAATTTATGGGTCTACGTAGATACTTTCCTGCTAATTTAGCAACAAGAATAATATATCACAGATATTGACTACTTGCTAAAACGCTTTTGGTTTATGGAAAGGTGTAAGGACTTGTTCTTAAAGATTGGTTTCTGTTTGCAGAGACGAAATGGAGAAGATATACCTGTAGCCCAGACTAAGAACATCAATCACAGAAGATTTGCTGCTTCCTTTAGATTGCAAGAAGTGACAAAAGCCGACCAGGATTTGTACCGGTGTGTCACCCAGTCAGAACGAGGTTCTGGTGTGTCCAATTTTGCTCAACTTATTGTGAGAGGTAAAATGGTTTTCATTTTATGAAATTGCATGCCTTTATTAGGACAAAAGCAACTTTGGAGGCACACTGTTACAAAAATTCTGATAATGTTTTAAGGTAAAATTAAGTCCGCAGTTGTAACATTCATCAATGAAGTTTCCAACAAGTATTTGCTATTAAAAGAAATCTGTTTTATAATGCTTTAATAGAATAAAATATATAAATCATTTTATGTCACATTGTTTTCATCTAGTTTACCTTTCAAATTTAAATCAGTTTCTTCCTGTTCAACACAGGTCTACAGATATTGTTGTGATGCTTTATTTCTCAAAATATTGTAGCACTGAAATCATGGACAAAGATTTTATTTCCTTGTAAACCTGGAAAGTTCATTTTGTGCCCATCCATGGGCTGCAAGGAAACATGAGACTTGTCTATATGCATGTTAATATATTTTACCACGCCTGAAAATATATTTTATCATGCTCAATAATGATAAGGTTTACATCATCTACAAAAGTGTGAAACCCCCATAGTAAATGTAGGCTAATTCTGGCCCCTGTTATGTCTCAGAAAATTAGAACTGCTAAAAGCATCTCAATAATATTTTTGGATGTAAAGTCATTAGAAGAATATGAAAGATTTGGCATAACAGTATGTTTCTGTAGTGAATTCTGGAAATATATGTGCAAATAACAAAATGTACACTGCATTCATTCAGAATTTACTGAATCCTGAGTTGCTGCCGTGATGGTTCAGATGGAGCAGAGCAGTGAGAAACACAGGAAGCCGAAGACCCCAGCTGGGGCCGGGGGGAAACATGAGACTTGTCTCTATACCTGTTACTGAATTTTACCAAGCGTGACAATAAATTTCCTCCACACCCATTATTTCAAGCCTTGTTGGATTTTAGTCCTTTAAAATTTAGTAGCACAGAGAATAGGAAATTGAAATTAAGGTTATGTGGTGATTTGCCCAAAGTCTAATAATTACAGACGTGGCAATTCAGAATAAAAGCCCACGTTCCTCTCTTCCTGATGAGCTCACTGTTCCACCTCAGCTTTCTCTCACATTTGCATTATTGAATAATCTTGTTAGCCTCCTTTATAATTCTGGTACTAGGAGACCCCATTGTTCATCAGAACAGTTAATCTTTGCAGGTTGAATAAAATTTTATTTTCAGTGAAGAGTCTCATGTCTCCATTGTCAGTTTATATTATCATCAAAAGTTCATAAAATTGTGGCCCTTTATTTATTAAAGAAAGGGAGAATGTGATAATCCTAGGCCCCGGGTTTCCCATGGAGGAAGCACTGCTAATATGCCCCTGTATGAGCGTGTGCTCATCTTTCTCAGATGTCTCAGTCACTGGAGCCGAATTTTGAAAGCTGAGGGTTTCCTTGGGACCTGTCCAGGTTAATGAATACGCTGCGGTTAGAGGGAGATGGGTGTGATGTTGAGTTACCGCGCTCACTTTACATCACTTAACTACTCTGTGTGCATCCACTGTGTGCAGACGTGAGATGGATGGATGCACAACAGTGCACCTAGAATGTCTTTGGATACCTGAAATGATATATAATTTAGTTAAGTATATATTAATATAGATAAGGGTATTACATTATATACATTTCTATGTGTATATATACATTGCTATGTGTATATTACTCCATATAGTTACACATATATTAAGCTGCAATTTTGTTGTACGTATACTGTTCATCTTGTAATTTTTAAAATTTTCTTTTTACATATATTGCTATATGCAAAGATGTTTGAGAAGTCAGCCCAAGTTGTATTTAGCGGGCAGATTGTAGAAGATAGTGCTGATATTTTGCTCCAGACCCTTTCTATATGGGTATAGTTCTTTTTTTGTATGGACTTTTTTGGTTTTTTTGCCTTTGTTCAGAAGCAAAATTATTTTGTCATTATTAGATGTCTCTTGTTTGTCTTTTTTGGAGACTGTGCTGCTGAAGGGATCCTGAACTCATGGGTGCCGGTGAGCAGTCTATCCCTGAGCTGCATCCCCACTTCTCCTTTGCTTATGTTGACTAAGAAGGAGATTTTATTAATTTACCAAAGCTTACCGCTTTTTACTTGATGATAACTGCAGTATTTCATTAAAATACGAAAAGAGGATCCTTAAATTTCATGGAAAACGTTGCCATTATATTATTTTTAGTAGAAAATCCTTCCATTTATTAAATATTTTTTTAGACTATATATTACTAAGATAGGTTTCAAATATAAATAGGGCTTTAAATGTATTATCCAGAGTCTGCCGACACCACAAAAATGTACTTTGATTGTCACGATAGTTTTATTTTTTTCAAAAGATTTTAGGATCTTTATCTAATACTAACAGATAATACTTTTCTTGCTGTGTTATTTGAAAACCAATATAGATGAATAAGGTTTCTTGTTTTTCCACCAAATAGATATTACTAACCAAATACATACCCCTGGGGGTCAGCTGTCCTGGTGTTGAAACAGTCCTGGAAATTAACCATGATGACAGGTCCTATCTCTCACTGGCACTTTTAAAGCTGACATCCTGTTACATGGATACAAAAGATGGTAATTTTAAAGGAAATTTTGGGGGCAGTGATATGAATAGTCTTTAATAAGAGCTGGCATAGTATTGCCTGTTGTCAAAGATGACCCATGGCTAATAGTTTATTAGTGCATTTTCTCTTAAACTGAAAGTGACAGGGCATGCTTAAGGCTCTTTTGTTGATGTTTGCTGTAAGGGAAAATTTCCCCGCAAAGTTCTCATGCTGAAGAGTATTGATCTGTGTGTTCCCATAGCCCCTCAGAAGAGGAGGGGTGGGGAAACGGAATTCACTTTGTCATGACTGTAGTGTTGCTTCCCAGTCATTTTGAGTAATGCATGCAACTTTTGAAAGCCAATCTTTATTGACAAAGAAGTTTTTACAGAGACGAGCTTAACAGGAGACTTTTTGTTCAGTGATTTTCCAAACTTGGAGTGTAAAAAATGTGACATACGTATTGAGGTGGTGTTTACCAACTTTACACGAAAGCACAAACTTTATTCTCCATGTGGTAGATTGTTTGACCCATTCTCGGCCTCCTCTGTGACCATCTTTGCCCACCTGTGTAAATCAAAACCCACTTTCACCTGTGATCAGCTGACTCACAGTAAACGTCTAAAATTTCTCTGCTTGCTCCAAGCGACGCTCAATTTTTCTCCTGATTGTTAGATTGTTATAGAAAGCATTTTTTAAACCTGTGAAACTATAATAACCTCTTAAATTTTAAATGTGATAAGTTCAGTATTTAGTTTATTGTTAATGCTTTGATTTTTATATATCAGTGTCAACTATTAACCGTTATCAAAATGCTCTAGACATAAGTATTCAGTTAGCATATTTATCTATTCATAGTGAATAACACTGCCCCCTAGCTAAAATTGGAGTGAATATCAATCCATTTATACAACCTCACTCGAAGTATGCATTGAACTTTACTCAGAGTTGATGTTTAAAGTTATAAAAAAATTCAGAGTGATATTGGATCTTTTCCTTGTAAGGCAATATAAGCCAGTTTAAAAATGAGAGTATTCACTGATTTTTATAATGGGAAGATGCCACGGTAGGCTTCAGGGTTGTTTGGCCTAGCCATTAAGTTTCTCATTTATTTTCAGTTCTTTACTTTGCAGTCAGTAGTTTTGGATTCTAAGCCAAGCTCACCCTCGTGGTCATAGGATAGCAATATGGTTCTATGCTTCTTTGTTCCCATACAGTTAGGGACTAAGAGGATACTGTCTCCCACTATTGTCTTCCATGCTGCACTCCATTTAATGATTTAACAAGCAAACAAACAAACAAGAAAAAAAAACACACCAAAAACAACACCTGTCCCTCCTTGCAAAAATAAAACAACATGGCTGGATATTGAAGAGTTAAGTAGAATGTCCATTAGTGACCTTTGGTACACAGGTCTCCAGAAGATAAACTGTGTTATTGAGAAGTAGTTATTCATTCGATCAAGTGAGGTAGTAAGTGATGAAATATTTTAAGAGAAAGCACAACAGATCCTCAAATGGTGCACAGAGTAGGGAATGTGATAATATTGGAAAAGGCTGTTACCACCCCAAGTCAAGTAATGGCATGGGTCATTTGGTAATACGTCCATCGTAGCTCATTTGGGGAGTGGTGAGCTATCAGTGATACCATTTGCTTAGTCCCAGTTACCCAGCACACTTGTGAAGAAAAAAAGAAGTTAAAGCTAACACAAGGTTCCTACCTGAACTTCTTAGATTCTGCTCGTATTGTAATTTTTTTCATTTCTTCAAACCTGCCTAGTTCATCTTTGCTTCCTTGAGCACCTAGCTCAGTCTTTGCGTAAAGACACTTATATCAAAATTAGCAAAGAAATTGTTCATTTAAGTCGGAGCAGTGGGCCTACCCCTGTCTGATTCGGGAGAATGGTAGGGAAGCACATATCCCTGACAGATGGACTGAGATGGGCTGGGACACAGGAAGTGATGATGACAATTGTAATTTATAGTGTTTCAGCAGCTGCTTTCCTTTCTCAAAATAAGAGTGATTTTAATTTAAAATAATTTTCACTTGAAGAATAATCTTGACTTGACCAATCTTGTAGTCGTTCTGTACATAGCAGTTAAAAAGTCAGGTCTGAATATTTGATATTTTTATTAGTAACAAGGATATTTTGGAAGTGGTGAATGCGACATACTTTACTGATACACTGTTAGTTGGTGCCTAAAAACTGAAATTTCTAGCTTCAGACCTTCAGCAGCCCACTTAATATCACGCAGTATTGATTTTTAACTAGTTTTCATCGCAAAGCTGTCAGGTTCATGAATTCCTACAAAGATCTTTTTTTACTGTATGTTGACTTGAAAATCCCTTTCCTTCACTTTTATTTTGAAAACTAGTCATCTAGATAGGAAGCTTGGAGTTATTTCAGAGAATGCAATTTAAACATCTCTGTTTCAAAATGTATAAAGCAGAATGAAAGTCTTACAGAATGTTGAAAT